TTGGTGCGCGACCAGCGCCCGCTCGGCGCCCGGCTGAGACACGACCTACCGACTGAGCGAGGCAACGACCCTGCGCTCATTCGCCCGACACTCTTCGCCCGGGGACATCGTCGTCGTTCAACGTTCAACCCGGGCACTCTCCACCCACATCCTCCACCTCATGCGGTCATCGCCCGATATTGTTATACAAAGGGAAGTACGCCAATTACGAGACAGAAACGTGAAGGTACAGCATATCCAAAGATGAGCAGGGAAGAGGGAAGTAAATAGAGTGAAAAACATACAAAACATCGAACAGTACCCATATAAACGCACATATGCCGTCGCCTCTTTTTCCCGCCTGCCACCCTTCCTTCGCCCATCTCACACCTATTCCTAGTTTAGCCTTTCGTAGCCCCTTCTCCGCCCATTCGAACATAGTCCCATCCCGCACCTGAGCCGCTCATCGCCCCAATTCAACCCGAGATCCCCCATCCATCTATCCTCGCCTTCCTCGGCGAACTCCCTTCCCACCCTTCAACCTATCTCCCACATATTTCACCCTTAGTCTGTCTTCGATCCTGTCTCTTCTACGCGGACGAACATGATTCCGTCCCGAGCCTGCGCCATCAACATCGGTGATTCCACCCAAAGACCTCTTTCACGCTTTCGTCCCATTGTATATGATGCTGTGCTCTGATCCAAACGCAGCGTGAACGAATCCCAACGCGCGACCCTGACGCAACGTTGCCACGTCAGCCAGACTTCTCCGACTGTGCAGTGGGTTAATCGCTCGCTCTGAGCCAGAGGCTGCGCACGTGGCTCGACCCATGCAGGTGGAATACGATACCATTTGATACGAGGTAAAGGCCGTTCGAAGACGTGCAGCCAGACATGATGTAGGTTGGTCAAAGAATTCAGGGCTTCGAGAGAGGAGGTACGGTCCTGCAAGAATGTGATCAATACCAAGAGTCGATAGAATCAACGACAAACTCACAGCTATGCTTGTCGAGACCATATAGTCATGATACGACATCGTCACCGCAAGATCCTCGAGGAGAGGGGCAACACCCGCCAGTTGACCCCAGAAGGAAGAAGCTAACCCCTCATCGTCAAGAATATTGATCCCGATCGCGATGCTTCTGGCTGGCACCCGACTAATGGCACGCAGAACATCATCAACTTCATTGTCGGAACCAATCCATGCAGGCCGTCCACAATCGAAACGATGTTCACGGAGGCGTACGAACTCTAATTGATGATGGAAGGAGAGGGAGACGAACGCGGATGTTGGTCCGGAGAACGATCGTAGTGCGGGAAACACGGTCAGGACGCGTATTTCACGTTCAAGCGATGGTGAAAAACTGAACAGGGACAAGGATAGATGTTGAACGAGGAGGAAGGTCGGATGGATGGGTTTCGACATCGTTTCAAGCTCCATATAGGAAAGATGTCTGTGAGGGGTGCATTCTGGATGCGACTCGGGATCGTGAGGCTCCAGCAATGCATCTGAGGAGGCAACGAAGCGGAGCAGTGTGAGCTCCTTGGCAGCAGTGATCACATCCAAAAGGGAGTGGCGGAGGGAGAGGAAGGAAGGTACGTCAGTCCAGGGAGGAAAGGCAGTCCGGGAAAAAACGCATGCGGCGGGATAGACAAGAAGTTGCCGTATAGATAGCAAAAACGCTCGACCGGAGCCTTCAAGCATAAATCGACAGAAGGTTATGGCCTTCTCGCCAGAACGCTTAAGAGTCACGGATCGGACGAGGATTGGGATGGAGAGTCGGTCGAACGCATGGCTGACAAGGCGGCATTGAGCCATGGTGGCGGGGTCTGTGAGTTGGATGATGGAGGCGAAAACGTCCGCGTTGAGAACGCAGGAAGACGTGGACTGATGGAACTGGAGACAACGTTGGCGAGTGGCCACCGACAATGACTGGAGACTCATTGCAAGCTGTGGGGGAAATGCGGGACGAAGAGGCGTTCATTATATAGGCAGCCTATGATCTTTGGTCCCTTTGTCTACAGCTCTCCATTGAACATACACTACATTGAGGCGAACAATCGATCGGCAAAATTTGGAGGTGA